TAAAACACTACATCAGTGAAAATGAATGAACAAGACCTACGTGAGTCTACACAGATAAACATAATTTGAGTGAAAAGAGGTACAAAGGATGTAATAGTAAGACACCATTTGTGTAAATTTTTAAAACAAAAAGTAGTGCATATTGTTATGCATATGTATGTTGTAAAAGCACAAAAATATACATCAGAGTGATAGACACCAACTTCAGGAAAGAGATTTCCTCAAGGAAGGATGTGAAGTGAGCTTTAATATATCTAACTTTTTGGATGATGTCTATGAGCACGAAAAAACTTTTTAGCGCCCCCCTCCCCGCCCCCCCGCGAAAAAACTTTTAAGTAAAACCAAGCCATTAATATCTGTTCAATTCGGTTGCTGGGTGCTTAGCTACCTGTTACGTTGCATTTTTCCATTTTTGTATGTTTGAAATGTTTTATGACTAAAAGCAATATATATGTGAAATTACCAAACCAGAGTATAAGTGAAACAGTTAACTGTTGCTCCCAAAATAACTTGCATGACTTATTAAAGCAAAAGAGATTCCTTGTATCATCAACACCTGTATCCAAACCATAATTAGAAGCCTGTTCCATCTTCTGATGATTCTGTATGCATTTCATGGGCCAGAAACAAAACTAATAAGGGTAAGATGCTCTAATTTGATTCCATTTTTTTTTTCACTTCAACCTTTATGAGTTTGTGCTGGATTATCATCCATGTTTCAGAGAGAGCTTCCAGAATGTACAAAAGTGTGATGGGTAAAAAAGCAGTCTTAAAGATTTTGTTTTTTTGGCATTACTCAATTTTGTTTGTTTGTTTGTTTTTTTGAGACAGAGTTTCGCTCTTGGTACCCAGGCTGGAGTGCAATGGCGCTATCTCAGCTCACCGCAACCTCCGCCTCCTGGGTTCAGGCAATTCTCCTGCCTCAGCCTCCTGAGTAGCTGGGATTACAGGCACGCACCACCATGCCCAGCTAATTTTTTGTATTTTTAGTAGAGACGGGGTTTCACCATGTCAACCAGGATGGTCTCGATCTCCTGACCTCGTGATCCACCCGCCTTGGCCTCCCAAAGTGCTGGGATTACAGACTTGAGCCACCGCGCCCGGCCCTCAATTTTGATGAGGGATAAGCAGAAATTTTTGGCCCCAATACATATTAATGGCAACTTATGTTTTTTAAATGAAAGACATCTCAGCAATCACCTTTGTGCTCGGACAGAATTAAACAAAAGTGAAAAGCATTAGCAGAGACAATGTCAGTAGAATGGAAGTCTACCAACTTGCATCGCTACATATGTAAAATACAATTGCTGCTTACATCACAGTGCCATGAAAATTAACTGATGATAATGCATGGGAAGCACCTAGCACAGTGAAGGGCATGTAAATAAACACATCACTTTGCTTCCCATTCCCTTACATGTGAACTTGAAGCAGGGAAATAAAAGGAAAAATAGAAGTTTAGAACAAACCTACTACCTCCTTTCTAGTTCTGTGCTAACTCTTAACATCCCAAAACAGCTCTCCAAGTCTTCATCTGAAAACATAGGCTGAACTGAGGCATAGTGACAGCCACTCAGCTGGGCCATGCAGCTATGACAGAGGACACTGCATCATCCAACATGGGAATGCCCCGTAGTTTATCCCTCATCTGAGTTGACATAATTCAGATTATATTCTGAGTTTCAAATATTTTCTTCCAATTAAAAATACCCCTACAAGCTTCTTTACAAGTGAGTGTGGTTTCTTGGTGGCTGACATAAAAGGCTCTCCAGTAAATATCATATCTGTGGTGAATATTTTTCCTGCTTTGTACTTTTGCTTCAGTTTTTATGATTTGGTACAAAGAATCTAAATTTCTAAGTGAGATCTATGAATTTTTCCCTATAGTTATTTCTGTTATTTTGTTTGAAAGTTCTTTCCCATCTACAGATAAATTAGTTGGTTTTTATCTTTTAAGGTCTCATTATTTACACTTAATTCTTGAATATACTTAAAAATTTTGGGGTAAGATAAAAGGTAACGCTGTAAATTGGCCTTTTATTTTAAATAGGCACAGCACTATTATTTATTAATCCATCTCTTCCTTCCTGATGATTTTTGTGATGTTTCCTTTAATTACAGTGATTTTCTCTGAGGAAGGAGAATGTATGGGGGTCATCTGAGCTTTGCAAAAATACACTTAACCCCACGTTTGCAAGATTCTGGCACATCTTGACTAACAGGATCTTAAGTCTCCCTTTCATGTGTTCCTGCCCTCACCCTTCGGAGAGCCATTAATATGTCGTATACAGGCCAAGCATGGTGGCTCATACCTGTTATCCCAGCACTTTGGAAGGCAAAGGCGGGCAGATGACCTGAGGTCAGGAGTTCAAGACCAGCCTGGCCAACATGACAAAACCCTGTCTTTACTACAAATATAAAAATTAGCCAGCCACAGTGGCACACACCTGTAATCCCAGCTACTCCAAAGTTGAGGCAGGAGAACTGCTTGAACCCAGGAGACAGAGGTCGCAGTGAGCTGAGATTGCACCACTGCACTCCAGGCTGGGCAACAGAGTGAGACCCTGTCTCCAAAAAAAAAAGTCATATACGTATTTTGTACTTTTCTCATATGTCATCTAGGATCTGCTTAGACAAGTATATTTGGTTCCACAGATAAGTTTATCCTCGTGTCTGCTCCACAGTGTTATCCTTACTGAAGGATAAGAATATATTTTAATATCTGATAAAGTATTATATTTTGAAGACCTAGAAAATAATTAGCCCATTAACATGTTGCTGCAGCATCCAGGTTGCTTGTTGAGAGAACTCTTTTCATATTGGTTTTCTCTTGTGCATAACTTTCAGTAAGGCTTTGTTTCAAATAGTTATATTAGTTATTCAGGTTTTTGTGCTGAGAAAAACAAGAAAAAAAAGAAATAAAAATAGTTATATTCTACTTTTATGTCAGCAGTAATAAAGAATTCATTTTTTAAAGTTGAAAAGAAAACTATAGTGGAAGAGAATTGTCTTTTTCTACTGACTTAATCTCAGAAAATTTCAGCCACCATCAAACCTGGCTGTATACAGCATACTTTCCCAAAACTAGCAATACTCAACACTGAGGTCTCACTCTGACAGCCAGACAATTCATTTTGAACATACTTGGTTTTGCATATATGAGATGTTATTTAGAAACCTGTTTTGAAGGTCTTTGCGAGGTAAAGATATGTATATACTTGTGAATTTCCTTTTTTTGTATGCTTCCAGAACTAAACCTTGGGTTAGGAGAGGTGAGAACTGTTTCCTGCTTGCAAACACTAAAGCTCAGTAAGAAGTAAAAGATTATATGTAATAAGTAGCTTTAACTTTCGTAAGTCAGTAGCATATTTTTTCTAAAAATTTAGAAACCTTCTCAGGATTCAAGTTACTCTAAGGCATGTTATCAGATTTCTCTCAGTAAGCAATCTGTTATAAATAGACATTGATTTCTATCAAAATTAATTTTCTTGCAAATAATATAGCAAGAATTAATTAAGCATACTTTAAAATTTTCTTAAGAATGCCATTGTGCAGAGCTTTATAGCAGTTATCTAGTGTAGTGAGACAGCTTCTAGAACTATGAGTGTATTTATATTCACTTTAATGTTCCTTAAAAGTGATAATAATTGGTAATTTCACCAAACTCTATACAATAAGATACATAAGGTGTTTACCAATAATATAAAATAATTTTTTTTTGAGACGGAGTCTCGCTCTGTTGCCCGGCTGAAGTGCAGTGGCGCAATCTTGGCTCACTGCAACCTCCACCTCCCGGGTTCAAGCGATTCTCCTGTCTCAGCCTCCCAAATAGCTGGGACTGCAGACACACGCCACCATGCCCAGCTAATATAAAATAAATTTTTAAGTTTGAGGACATGAAGAAAAATAGAAGTTTTCATAACACAAACATAAATGCTAAATTTCATTTAGATGGTTATTTGTTAATATTGTCAGGGCAAAGTAATTAATATAATTTTATCACATTTTTCTGACCCTCTAATTTTTCTGCAAATTTTAATATTTATCCTCAAATATTACTTATTTTTAAAATATGCTTTTGCTTTGACTTATTTTTTATTCAACCAATTGTGTGCACTTATTGAAATATAGTTAACTGGCCGGGCACAGTGGCTCACACCTGTAATTCCAGCACTTTGGGACTCCGAAGTGGGTGAATCACCTGAGGTCAGGAGTTCAAGACCAGCCTGGCCAACATGGTGAAACCCCATCTCTACTGAAAATACAAAAATTAGCCAGGCATGGTGGCGAACACCTGTAATCCCAGCTACCCCGGAGACTAAGGCAGAAGAATTGCTTGAATCAGGGAGGCGGAGGTTGCAGTGAGCCAAGATCATGCCATGGCACTCCAGCCTGTGCAACAGAGCAAGACTCCATCTCAAAAAACATATATATAGTTAACTGAGCACTGTATACAAGCCAAGTCTCATTAAAATTAATTCAGCTCTGATCAAAATCTTCATGCTCATTCACATTGATTTCTCAGCCAATGGCCTACCTTAAGTTTTAAGAAGTATAAAAAATTTTATACTCCATGATAGAAACTTTCAGATGAGTCCTTGGAGTTTGTCATAAGAGGCTTTTACATATTTAGTCAATAACATTCTGGTTCTCTGTATGACCAAAGAACTGGACAAATGCTGGCCAAACTTTCAAGAATGTTTTTCTGATGACACCCCCTAGATAGCAATTGTATGATGTTCTATACAGCCATATTCAAATGAACTAGGAAAAAAGCTAACTACACCCAACTTTTTTTCTTATAAGCACCCATTCCTTCCCTTTCTCCCTATCTTATTCATCTGTCTATTCTTGTTAATTATTCAACAAATGTATATTGATCTCCTATAACCAAGAAACGTACTAAGCTCCATGGAGTCAATGATGAACAAGACTAAGACCCCGCCAGATGCAGTGGCTCATGCCCTTTTTATCTAAGCAGTGATAGATAGTGGGTGATCTCATTTTTTAATTAGAATTTTATTAATTATCTTTTCATTTGTTATAGAGATTTAGGCATACAGCAGCAAATTATACAAGATTTTTAAATGAGAAAGGAACATCTGTTTTCTGACATATTGTCAGTTCCCGAATCATTTACTTTAAAACACATTTTAAATTAGTATCAAGTGCTTGATTTTAATAACTACTTTAGTGACTTGAGAGACTATGGCACTTTAATTATTTTGCTGTTAAAGCCATAAATTCCACTTAACTTCACAATCTATGTTAAGAGTATTAGCTTAAAAATGTATCTTGAAAAGATTTTGCATACAGATTTAAAATGTAGTACCTTCAAATGGTTTACAGTTTAGCAATTGAAATATCACAGATACAAGGAGAGCTTTGAGATCTGAGTTTTGTAAATGCTAGAACTATGTTTCATCATTTTTTAGTTCTTCAAAGAATTAAGAGGCTGTATTATATCATTATTTTTAGTATGTTTACCTCAAGTGCCTTTAGAACTAGACTGTATTTTCACTGCCACAGATACATCATGCAGGGAGTATCCTGGTTTAAATTCTGAAGTGCTTTCACTCCTGCTTGCTTCACCTTGAAATCGTCTAAAAAGAAGTTGGCACATTATTTTACGAATGTTACTGGACATAAGGAAATACATGACTGGATCTAAGCAACTGTTGAAGGCCGAGAGAACCAGCATGATCTCATTGGTTTTGTGAACAATTTCTTTCCAGTAGCAAGACAATACATTTAGCTGTGAAGTAATGTAGATGAATCGAAAGGCATGATAGGGAACAAAACATATAGTAAAAATGATAAGTACAATAAAGGAGTTCCGGGCTGTAGTGGCATATTTACCAGAATTAGGAAATTTTGACCTCCTTTTAGAAATTCTCAGTAGATTCTTCCCAATCTTAATATATGAAAGGATTATTAATAAGAAAATTAGCCAGAACATTACCACAAGAACGTAGTTAAAAATGGCTTCTCCTTTTGCATTATGCTTATCTCTATAATGGAAACACATTGTGGAATTATGCCCTCCTTTCTTAAGTGTTAAAGTAATCATAGTTAGGAATCCAGCAAAAGCAAGCATCCATACTATACAACAGACATAAATACTTTGTTTAGTTGTTATTGCCTTCCGTCGCTGTATAGACCGATTAATTTTTATGTAGCGATCCAAACTGATGAATCCAAGCAAAATAATGCTAATGTACATGTTCATATAAAATAGTGTTCCCACAACCTTGCACAGAATCACACCTAGTGTCCACTTGTTTTGGTTAATGTGATACATTATTCGGAAAGGGAGGCAGAAGATGAGTAGAAGGTCTGCAATGGCTACATTAAGTAGATAAATTTGAATGGAATTTCTTTTGCGGTGGATACCCAGAAATACATAGAGGGCAATTACGTTCCCAACCAGTCCCACGATAAAAATAACCGAGTAAAATGTTGTTAACACAGTAGATAGTAATTTTTCATCCATGGGACATGTAATAACATCTGGTGTTCCTGAGAAGTTTTGTGGTGACTGATCGCTGTGATTAGTTATAAAGTGCATTCTGTGGGAGGAGTAAGGCCAGCTGCTGACTGAAGTTGTTGTCATCATTGTTATGGTGTGACTTCTCATTGTCTTCTGTGGAGATCAAAAAGTGAAGGTGCTAAATGACGCATTCCTCATGTGTAGTTCTTAGTCTTCAGATTTTTCCTGCAACAGAATGCCAAACATTGAGTCCTTTGCTATTAATAGGCTGGGCTTCTTAGCACACGCCTATGGTCCTAGCTACTCGGGAGGCTACAGCAGGAGGATTGCTTGAACCCAGGAGTTCAAGGCTGTAGTTAGCTATAATTGTACCACTGTACTCCAGCCTGAGCAATAGAACAAGACCCCATCTTTTAAAAAAAAAAAAAAAGGCAAAGTGTAAATAAATGATTTATTTTCAGACATTGTGAGAAACTTTAGTTTTATCCTACTGTATGTAGTAACATTATTGTATCAATTGTATCATAAAACAAGCAGCATATCATGTAGGATCTCATGAAGTTTCATGCTCTAACCTTTTCTGTGGCCATGCCCTACATTCAAGGTCTGTTTCATGTATTATATTAAAATAACTCAATTTATGAGATCATCTTCTCTTGGGGAAGTTCTCATGGGAATAGAGGTGGTGGTGAAGAAAAATGACAGCTCATATTTTTCAAAGATGAGCATCAGTTTCTCTAAAGGTATGTACAGGCTTAAGAGAGCTGGGCCCACTGCTGGCCCTGCCCAGCTTCAGAACCACTTCCTGCCTTGACTTTTTCCCTTATATGTGGCATTCATTCATTTTGACATGTATTGCTACATGGCGTGTGACTTACTGCAGTGGTCTCATTCTAGAGTGGGAGTAAAGAACATCCTAAATTTCTTCTCAGCCTAAGACCAAGGTAGGGGTGTTCAAATTATTGCCCACAGGGCATGCAATTAACGTAATAGACTAAGACAGCACAGCACCTGCAACGTTACACAGACTTTTCTAACACTGCACAGGAGAAAAATGTAACCAAACAAAGCCAAGTCAGCTGGCAGCTGCTAATTAGCCACTCCTAACGTAGAAGCATAGAGTGATAATGTAGATGGGAAACATGATGTGCAATCCAAGATTTTGAAAGTAACCTGACCAAAGCTTAAATGTGCCCTGGGTTCAATAATTTGAGACTTGCTAGAACCTTTGAAGAGGTAATGTTTGAATTCTACTTGTTTATAGCAGCAGAGAATATTTGCAAAGCTACTTGTTATGGCCCATGACTGCTGTGAAGAGCTTAGTCTGAGAGCTGCTCATAACAAGTAAAGAAAATGTTCCTGGAGGTTTCATCACATTCCTCTCTTAGAGTGACTGCCCTAATTCTGTACAGCAGCCACTTAGCAGGGTTAACATAAAGATGCCCAAAGCAAGGTTTTCAAAATCAGACCCAACTCACTTGCAACAAAGGGCAAATAACTTAATCTTTTCTATGCCTGAGTTTTTTCATTTGTGAAAATGAAAAATACATATGAAGAACTTAATCCTGGCACATAGCAACTATTTAATAAAAGTTAGCTTTAATAAACACCTCTTGATTAATCTCATTTTAGTAACTATCTCACACTTGGCTAAGTACTGTGCAGAAAAGGAAGGTGAATAAGACAGAGACCGTATTAAACATTTTGAAGGAGTGGGCATTCAAACCCTGACTGCTGCCATGCAGAGTGGCTTTGAATAGCAGTAAACTAAGTTCCTGATTTGATCTTAATACACAGAGAAAAATAGCCTTTCTTAAAACTCTACCTGTAATTTGATTAAGAACAAAGCATTTTGGTAGAGGGTAACGTTAAGGTTTAAAATGTAAAGCTGGCTGGGTGCAGTGGCTCACGCCTGTAATCCTAGCACTTTGGGAGGCCGAGCCAAGTGGATCACAAGGTCAGGAGTTCAAAACCAGCCTGGCCAACATGGTGAAACCCCATCTCTACTAAAAATACAAAAATTAGCCGGACAAGGTAGTGGGCACCTGTCATCCCAGCTACTCAGGAGGCTGAGGCAGAGAAATGCTTGAACGCGGGAGGGGAAGGTTGCAGTGAGCTGAGATCTTGCCATTGCACTCCAGCCTGGGCAACAGAGCGAGACTCCGTCTCAAAAAAAAAACAAAACTGTAAAGTTGGGAAGCATTGATTCCATGGAAGAGGAACTAGATGGTGAAGAGGAAGTTATGTAATCCCTGGCTTGTCTCCAGAATTCAGGAAAGTGAAGGGAGAAAGGAAGGGAGCGAGGAAGGACTGAGTCTAGTCTGTCATGTGGCTCAACTGCAGGAAGACAAATTTCAGAAAGTTTGCAGAAAGATATAGGCATGTTTCTTGTGATCTAAGATTTTTTTTTTTTTTTGAGACAGAGTTTTGCTCTTGTCACCCAAGCTGGAGTGCAATGGCACTGTCTTGGCTCACTGAAACCTCCACCTACCAGGTTCAAGCAATTCTACTGCCTCAGCCTCCCTGGTAGCTGGAATTACAGGTGCCCACTGCCACGCCTGGCTAATTTTTGTGTTTTTAGTGGAGACGGGGTTTCACCACATTGGCCAGGCTGGTCTGGAACTCCTGACCTCAGGTGATCCGCCTGCCTCGGCCTCCCAAAGTGCTGGGAGTACTGGCATGAGCCACTGCACCCAGCCTGTGATCTAAGATTCTAAAAGGAAAGAGCAATCTAGGAAGAATGTCAGGCTGCCAAAAATGAAACTGGTGTCTGTAGAGGGGCCACCCGTATTGTGTGTGGTTATCTAGGGAGCTCTCATATGTTCAGGGAATTGAGGCACAAGAAGTGATATGATTTTGAGAGTTCAAGTAGCTGAAATGACAAGAAAAACTCATCTGTAAGTATTTTGTTGTTGTTTTTTTCCTTCTCTCGTGCTTGATTTTAAGTTCCATTAGGATTAAGAACCAAGTCAGTTTTGTTTGGCTCTCTGTATCAAATGCTTAGCACAATAAATATTATTGAATAAAAGAGGGAATTAATAGAAATACATATGAAGTTCTACATGTGGATATTATAAGCGTCTATACAAGTACAGGAAGAGCTTTAGCTGCATTAACAAACACAATTGCAGTTGCTCTATCACCGTGGTGTGGTGGTAACAAAAAACCCGTCATTAGTTGAATTCCTAGATATGTGGTGTCTGAAATGAAAATTGTTACCACTAAGCTGCTTCCATCCAAGCTGGTAGGGTCTCATCTGGAATGCAGTGTTTCAGCCACAGCAGCACACTTAGAAAAGGCCATGGACCAAATGGAGAGAAGAACTCAAATCATGTCATAGAAGCAAGTTGAAGGAAATAGGCACCTTACCCTGGAGATGAGAATGCTTTACAAAGCCATAGAAAAAAGGGTTTCACTTTGTTATATGTGTCTTTACAAAGCAGAGCAAGAACCAGTGATAGAAACTGCAGAGACAGATGTTGCCTCCTTCTAAGGAAATGATTTTTTTCTAATGAAATAATCTCTCTTAGGAGGCAATTTAAGGATCTTACCACTGGAGATTTTTGAGACTACCACCAATTGGGTTCTTTGTAGAAGGGATTATCAGTGGTTCCCAATCCTGGCTGCATATTAGAATCCCCTTGAGAGCTTTTTAAAGATGCCAGTGCTTGGCTCCTTCCCCAGATATTCTGATTTAATTGGTCTGGAATGGGTTTCAAGCACTGGTTTCCTTTAAAAGCTCTTCAGGGGATTCTAATTTGCAGTCAGAATTGAACCCTTAAGCTAGATGGCCAAACCATTAACCAATTATTTATTTAGTACTTTCTGTGTACCAGACATTGTGTTAAACAAATTTACATTACTTCATTTACATAATCCTTGCAAAACTCTGTGAGATAGGTATCACAGAAGAGGTAATGAAAGATCAATAGATAGGCCAGGCACAGTGTAATCCCAACACTTTGAAGGCTGAGACTGGAGGATCACTTGAGACCAGGAGTTCAAGATCAGCCTGCCAGCCAAGGCAACTAGCAAGCACGTGGCTTTAATATATAATAAAATGAAAGAGAGAGAAAGAGAGAGAGAGAGAGAGAGAGGAAGGAAGGAAAGAAGGAAGGTTCAAGAGGTTTGATCTTAAGGGAGGGAGGAAAATTAGTTAAGTCAAGAGGTTATGATTGTTACTCTTGGCCACACAACTCTTAAATGACAGTGCCCAAGTTAGGACTCAGATCTGACTTTTAGAGCCCATGATCCTTTTCACTAAACCTCACTCCTTATCACATAGGATCAGCATTTTCTTTCTTTTTTTGAGACAGAGTCGCTGAGGCTGGAGGGCAATGGCGCCATCTCAGCTCACTGCAACCTCCACCTCCCAAGTTCAAGTGATTCTCCTGCCTCCGCCTCCCAAGTAGCTGGGATTACCGGGAGATGCCACCATGCCTGGCTAATTTTTGTATTTTTAGTAGAGACAGGGTTTCACCATGTTGGTCAGGCTGGTCTTGAACTCCTGATCTTGTGATGCTCCTGCCTCAGCCTCCCAAAGTGCTATGATTACAGGTGTGAGCCACCGTGCCCAGCCAGATGAGCATTTTCTTTATTGAGTTCTATCAACAGTTTTTTTATATGACTCCTTTAACATACACTTCAACAATTTTAAGAAGAAATTATGCCATCTAGGTTTCTTCTTTGGAAAGGGTATTAATCTTTTTATTTGCTATGTCCATTATTGTAAGTAAGTAAATCCAGAGTTTACAGAATCACAAATTCATCAGAATGCTTGACACTACCCGCAGAGCATATCTTTTCAAACTTACTTCTAGATCCCATAGCCATAATCAAGATGTTTCTAGAAAGCTGTTAGCACAATGCACATATCCTGAAACCATTTGCCTCAGCTCTAATCCGCAAGTAAATTAAATAATAGTTGGACAAGTCTGTCAGTAAGCCTTTCTGGTTTTGCTTTAGTCTTCAAAGAGAATAAAGCATTTAGTGGCCATAATTCAGAAACATGTATTAGACAGCTAGCATGCAATTATTGAGTCACAAATTGACAGCCAGGTGCCATGGTTCATGCCTGTGATCCCAGCACTTTAGGAGGCTGAGGCGAGAGGATCACTTGAGTTTAGGAGTTCTAGACCAGCCTGGGCAAGATAGCGAAACCCTGTCTCTACAAAAGATATAAAAATTAGCTGGGTATGGTAATGTGTACCTGTAGTCCCAGCTATTTAAGAGGCTGAGGTGGGAGGATCACTTGAGCCTGGAGGCAGAGGTTGCAGTGATCCAAGATCATGCCACTGTACTCCAGCTTGGGTGACAGAGTAAGACCTTGTCTCGAAAATATATATATATATATATATATATATATTTTTTTTTTTTTTAATTGCCCAGATGCAGTGGCTCATGCATGTAATCCCAGCACTTTGGGAGGCCAAGGCAGGCAGATCACTGGAAGCCAGGAGTTCAAGTCCAGCCTGGCCAACATAGCGAAACCCCGCCTCTACTAAAAATACCAAAAATAAATAAATAAATAAATAAATAAATAGCAGGATGTGGTGGCAGGCACCTATGGTCCCAGCTACTCCAGAGTCTGAGGGTGGAGAATTGCTTGAACCCAGGAGACAGAGCCTGCCGTGAGCTGTGATCATGCCACTGCACTCCAGCCTGGGTGACAGAGTAAGACTCTTTCTCAGAAAAAGAAGAAAATTTTTTTTAATCACAATTAGATTCTGTTTTAAACTTGGTGACTGTTTTTTTTTCTCCTTTAAAGTTGGTTGATACATTACAATGTCATTCACTATATAAGACTATTTATTAATATTTTTAAAACTACTTGTTTGATATGTTAAGAATTGCTTGTGAAGACAAGAAACAAACTACTGTGTTCACATAGGGGATTAATTTCCTAGCAGACACTGCTTGTGACCCATGTGCTATATTGAAGTGGTCACAATATTTTTGTAATAGTAGATAGTGTTTTTTAAATGTTGTTACTTGGCAAATCCTATTCATAAGTTCAAAAACCTAGTATTAGTGCCTTGTACCCCCCCACCACCACCTACTTTTGCAGTTGTTTTTCGCCTGGCTCATGTAGGAGTACTGGACCCAGAGGGCAGGACCCAACAGATTCCACTGTGACTCCAGATGAGCAGGAGCCTTTAAAATGCAGTTTGGGTATGTTTGTGAAAATACCACATTGCTTGTTGAAATACATACCTATTTGGTAATAGTAGCAACCTTTCACCGTTTGACTCGATAATGACTGAATCTATTCAGGACATGCTTCAAAAATTGCATTAACTGCTGTATACAAAATGAAAATTGAAAACATATTACTTTGGAAATAATATTAGTAGCGTGTTAAGGTTGTGTTACAATTTTAACTCTGTCCATAAAAAACACATTTTAAAAATTATTTGAACTGAAGTGTATTTTGCTTTCTCTCTTATCTAATATTTACCTTATTTACTTCTGAGACATCAAACTTAAATGTTATATGATCTGGTAATACTATAAAATAGTAATAATATAATAAAAGACAGAAATTGAAAATAGGGAGACAGCATAACTTAATAAAGTCAATAAGTTATAGATAATTTATAATACATTAGAAATAAAATGTGTTGCATATGAAAATAACTTTTAATTATCAAGTAGATCTGCAAATCTTGATGGCAGTATACAAATGCAGAATCAACAATGTGACTATATTGACAGTAGGAGCTTAAATACCCTGAATGTCTCAAAGTACTTAAAGTAAAAAGACAGTCTCATTTGAAATCAAGGCATAGGTGTCATTCAAGCAGTTTACTTAATGATCCTAAAAGCAAACGACTGCTGACATTAGAGTAGCCTAATCACCATGAATCAGGTTTCACTTTGAATGTTTAGCTAATCAAATTTTAGCCGAAATAAAGGTTCATTTATGTCACTGAAATCATGAAATACTCACAGTTCAGATTTGCCTGAAGTAAAAGGAGCTGAACCCCAAGCTTCCTAGACACTGAGAGTTGTCTTGGTTGTGTCATCTGGGCTCTTCCATCCGGTCGTGGTGCAATTGGTTGGGGTTCTCTTCTTTTTTATGTTCACATGTGGCGTGGTAGGGTTTTTTTTCCCCTCCCTTTTTTTTTTCTTTTTTCAATATGACAACCCTCAGATAAGCCCCAGAACCATGGAACAACTTAAAGCTCAATCAACACTGAACTTTAGGAAATTTTTATATCTTCTTTATGAATACTTTCCAACTACAGTTGTGGAAAGTTTTCCTCCCCCACCCAAAATTTAAAAGTTTTATAAATTCTAGGCAGAAATATGTATTTTCTATTTTTTTCTAAGAAATGATGCATAATATATGGACTTTCAAAGCAGAGGCACTAAATTTCTGTTTCTTTTTGGATTCGTTTTAGAAACTACATTATTCAGATAAAGTGGCATTCCTTTATTGAATTGTACTAACATTAGTAATGAATTATTTTACTCTTTTTTAAGTTTTATTTCATTTGTACATTATTTTAGCAAAATTTCATGTATTTCTTTAAGACCTTTGCTAAAACAATCTTAAGACTAGATGAGATTTCTGATGGTATTCTCCCCTTTTTATCACTGTGATAAACTCTCCCAAGCAAATTAAAACATCACCTGTATTTTAAACAAAATGATGATGGGATTCTGCAGTTTTAGTTTTGATTCTAGTCTAAAATTTAACCACTATCTGTCCAACTATTTAACTGCTGGCCCTGCAGTTTAGTGTTATTTCCCTTTTTTTGTTGTTATTTGAAATGAAGAAGAGTTAGTTTTTATTTTCCCCATAATTGTTATCCTGCAGCTTTGTTTACACTAAATATTTAACTCATTGGGCTGTAGCTAACATTTAATTATTTCTGGGTACACTCTTCTGAACATTATATTCTCCAGAGCTTTTAGTTTCTTATAAATATGGTTTATCGGACAGGATATTTTTTAATTGCTAGAATAAAAATGTTTTGTAGCTCTTACTTCCCCTTAGAACCTCTGAGAAAGAAAATGGTTACTGTATTGGTCTGGCAGGATTTTCTTTTATTGTGGTACAATATGTAACATTAAATGTACCATCTTAACCATTTTTAAGTGTACAATTCAGTAGTGTTAGATATATTCACATTATTGTGCAACAGTTCCTAGAAGTTTGTTATTTTGCAAAACTAAAACCCTGTACCACTAAACACTATTTCTCTTCTCTTCCACTGCCCTTGATGATCATGATTCTTTGTGTTTCATTGACTTTGACTACTTTGGACACTTAATATGAGTAGAATCACACAGTATTTGTCCTTTTGTGACAGGTTTATGTCACTTAGTGTAACATCCTCGAGGTTCATCTGTGTTGCAGCATGTTACAGAATTTCCTTCTTTTATCAAACTGCATCATATTCCACTGTATATCCACCACATTTTCCCTATGCATTCATCTGTTTTTGGGTTGCTTCCACCTCTTGGCTAAGTGAATAATGCTGCATTGAACATGGGTATGCATATATGTCTTCAAGATCCTAGCAGGATTTTTATTTTTGTTTTATTTTTTAATTATTATTATTATTATGAGACAGAGTCTTGCTCTGTCACCCAGAATGGAGTGCAATGGTGCAATCTTGGCTCACTGCAACCTCCATCTCCAGGGTTCAAGCGATTCTTCTGCCTCAGCCTCCTGGGTAGCTGGGACTACAGGTGTGTGCCACCATGCCCTGCTAATTTTTGTATTTTTAGTAGGAACGGGGTTTCACCATGTTGGCCAGGCTGGTCTCAAACTCCTGACCTCATGATCTGACTGCTTTGGCCTCCCAAAGTGCTGGGATGACAGGCATGAGCCATGGCACCTGGCCCCCAGCAGGATTTTTTTTAATGACTAAATAGGTATTTACCTATGTGCTTTCTATTTCATAAAATCTAGTATGAATATATTTTTTTCTGTATCATTTTCCTACACCTAACACAACCCTTTTCAAAATACTAATTGTTTTCATCTTCAGTTTCCTCATATTATGACCACATTTTCTCCTCAATGTGAGTCAGCACAGCTACCACCAGATTTGAGTATAATCTTTTTCTAGTTCTTTCTTTATGTGAGCTTTTTCCTGTTCATTGTGAACTTTCTGCTTTGTCTGTGTTCTTAGCTCATTTTCGATATCACCTCTTCCCTTTATGCTTCCTCTTTCTCTTGTTGGTATTGTAAGTTATTTATCTGTATAAAGATAGAAGTAGAAAAGAACAAATGTATATGCTTGTTTGGTGCCATCAATTACTGACATCACCATTCTTTTTAAATCCCAACCCTGGTTAAATTCAGCTCACCACCTACTCCAGGCCTGAACCTTGCCATCTAAAATGAGGACTGCTGGATGCAAACACTCAATGATGCTGATCAGTCTCACTTCAAATTTATCACTACAAACCTCAAGTGGGCCCCTGGGCTGCCAACAATTCTAGTATATTTCCTTAGTCTAGTGGTTCTCAAAACAGGGATCCCAAACCAGTCACATCAACATCACTCAGAAGCTTGTTAGAAATGTATGTTCTTAGCTGGGCATGATGGTGCATGCCTGTAGTCCCAGCTACTTGGGAGGCTGAGATGAGAGGAGCACTTGAGCCTAAGAGTTTGAGTCTATCCTGGGCAACATAGCAAAATCTTGTCCCTAAAAAAAAAGGAAAAAGAAAAAAATGCATGTTGTTGACCTCATCCCAGACCTGTGAGCCAGAAATTCTGGAGATGGGGCCCAGCAACCTGTATGATTCTGATGCTAAGGTTTGAGGACCACTGCTTAATCAGTTCATTCTCCTATTCCTTGAAAATATTTTTTCACACTTGTACTCTTCTCAGACTGCCAGGAACACCCCTCCTTCCTCACTCCCACCTGGTGATTGCTTTTTATTTCACTGAGAACATAGAAGCACTCAGAAGAAAACTTTCTTGTCTTCCACTGTCCACCTATGCTGGTATATACAGATGTCTCTCTTTAAGAAACAAAAGCCAGGCGCAGTGCTTCATGCCTGTAATCCCAGCACTTTGGCCAGCCAAGGTGGGCAGATCCCTTGAGCTCAGAAGTTCAAGACTAGCCTGAGCAACATGGCAAAACCCTGTCTTTACAAAAAAAAATACAAAAATTAGCCAGATGTGGTGGCACGCACCTGTAGTCCCAGCTACTCAGGAGGCTGAGGTGAAAGGGTGGCTTAAGCCCCAGGAGTTCAAGGCTACAGTGAGCCATGATCGTGCCACTGCACTCCAGCCTGGGTGACAGTATCTCAAAATAAATAAAATAAAAAATAAAAAAAACCTCCACAAAAAAGTTCTAGGTACTACTATGGAATTACCTATAGAATATATTGTTATGTGGAAATTTTGAATATTTATATGTATTTTTTTATTTTTAAAAAATGGAAGGATAAACTGAAAACTAGTAAAAATAGTTACCAATGGGGAAGAAAAGATTGGGCATGGGAGAAGAAGGCAAAAGCTAGACCTCTCTGAATAGTATCTGTTTTAAAGTTTGTACTTTAGAGCCTATGTACATGTTTTATATCATTAAAACACCAAATTAAGGCAAAATCTAATTAAAACAAATGAACCTTACTCTGTTGCAAAGTGAAAGCATAACCACAAGGAGAATTACTTTTAGTAACTTTAAAATACGGTAGGGGTTTTTGTTTTGTTTTTACATAATTTTAGACTTATAGAAAAGTTATGAGAACAAGTATGAGGATTCTAGATACCTTTCACTCAGATTCCCTGTGTTAACATTTTTTTCTTCATTTGTTTAATCCTTCTCAATCTCTCACTGTTATCCATTTATTTATATATTTCCTAAAAATAAGGAATTCTTTTACATAGCTGCAGTACAGTTATCAAAACCAGGTAATTCATATTGACAAAATATCATTATGTATTCTACAGACCTTGTATCAATTTCATCAGTTGTTCTAGTAATATTCTTTATAGCAAAAAGAAAAACAAGCCGGGCACAGTGACTCACACCTATAATCCCAGCACTTTCAGAGGACGAGGCAGGCAGATCACTTGAGGTCAGGAGTTCGAGACCAGCCTAGCCAACATGGCAAAACACCATCTACTAAAAATGCAAAAAACTTAGGCATGGTGGCATGCTCCTATAATCCCAGCTACTTGGGAAGCTGAGGCACAAGAATTGGCTTGAACTCGGGAGGTGGAGATTGCAGAGCCAAGATCATGCCACTGCACTCCAGCCTGGGTGACAGAGTCAGACCCTGTCTCAAATATGTATATGAAACAAGATCTGTCTTTTCAGTCTCCTTTAATCACTTTAACCTGGAACTTAAGCCAGTTAGTTTCTAGAATGTTCGTCTTTCGGTTTGCTCAGTGTTTCTTCATGATTAGATCTGGTTATGTACTTTGGCAGGAATACCACAGCAGTGCTGCCAAGTTCTCAGTGCATCATATCAGGAAGCCCATGCTATCAATCAGTCCCATTAGAAGCAGTGTTAACTTTGCTACTTTCTGCTGGGTTTCTCACCTGTAAAATTACTAGTTTCCCATTTGTAATTAATAAGTGTCCAGTAGGGAGCTATTTAGAGATTACATAAATATCTTATCACTCTTCAAATTTTCACCCACAAGTTAGCATCCTTGGTGATTCTTACCTGGATCAGTTATGATAATGAAAACTGCCATTCCAGCATTTCTTCTACATTTAATTGATTTTCTACTTAAAGCTTTTCCTCCTTCCCCATTCATTTATTTGCTTATTTATTTACATCAGCACAGACTCATGGATTCTTACTTTACTCAGTAGTAAAATGGTATTTTGACCGGGCATACCTAGTGGGATATATCATAAGGTCAAAAAGAAACACAAAATCTGAAACAGCATTCAGTGGTGTTACTATTAATAATGTAGGTATTAATGTTATTTTAAAACTTTCACATACACACACATTCTGAAGCACAAATCAAATGAGTAATTATGTTAGTATCATTAGGTACCAAGATTACAGTTGTCCCTTGAAAAACATGGGGGTTAGGGGCACTGATCGCTGCGCAGTTGAAAATCCACATGT